AATCCTGTTTAGTTTTGTTTCTTTTAGTGAACGTTCCCCCTTTGATAACCAGTTCTGGGAAATAATGGTAGGGTGTGTCATCTCCTGAAATGGCTGAGGCTTGCAACTACTAGGTACCCTGTAGAATGTTGTAAAACCCAGAATTCTAGAACTGTAGGAGATACTGCCTCTGAATTCTGGAAACTCGGGTTCCTACAATCTCAATGTTCTAACACAGCACTGCTCCACTCTCAGAATCTTACTATTCCCTAATATAAGAATCGTAGAACCTCCACCCTGATTCTAGAACTGCAATCTCTTGAATTTTTCTTTTTCTAAGATGGAGTCTCACTCTGTCGCCCAGGCTGGAGTGCAGTGGTATGATCTTGGCCCACTGCAACCTTTGCCTCCTGGGTTCAAGTGATTCTCTTGCCTCATCCTCCTGAGTATTAAAGGCGCATGCCACCACACCTGGCTAATTTTTGTATTTTTAGTAGAGATGGGTTTCACCATGTTGGCCAGACTGGTCTCAAACTCCCGACTTCAAGTGATCCACCCACCTCGGCCTCCCAGAGTGTTGGGATTACAGGCGTGAGCCACCACACCTAGCCAATCTCTTGACTTTCTAAATGTAGAGTTTCCTTAGGGTTTCTGAGTTTCAGAATTCTATGCTGTAGGATCCACATTTCTGGAACTTTCCTATGAAGGGGACTGGTTGAGTGACGGAAGCATGTGTTTTTGCTTTTTTCTACTGCAGAAGGAAAGCCACACAGGTTGGGGAGAAAACCCCCAAGGATGAATCTGCCAATGTAAGTCAGGGGTTTTTCTTGCCCTACACCCCTTAGGCAGTACCAAGAGGGTAGGGATACAGGACTGTGTGGGGTTTGAACCTGGAAGAGGAAATGGGCAGAGGTGTGGCAGGAGCTGACTCATGGCAGTTTTATTTCCCACCAGCAGGAGGAGCCAGAGGCCAGAGTCCCGGCCCAGAGTGGTGAGTGAAAGCCCAGTTCCGCCATAGAAACTACAAATCCCAGAATACCCTCTTCTCACATGTTAAGCACCCTCACGGGAGAGTCTGGACGGATGGTGCTGGGGATTGTAGTCTCCTGAGATGGGTCTTTGAACAGGGGCTATTGAGGTTGGGGGAGAAAGACTGATTGAGGGGCAGTCTTTTGTCCCTGATTTTTCTGATTTGTTGCCTCTCCCCAGAATCTGTGCGGAGACCCTGGGAGAAGAACAGCACAACCTTGCCAAGGTAGGCCCATCAGTACTGTAGTCCTTGGGGAGGTCATGTTGGGGAGTTCGACGCCAGCCTGGGCAACATGGCGAAACCCCCATCTCTACAAAAATTAGCCAGGCATGGTGGCACTTGCCTTTGGTCCCATCTACTTGAGAGGCTGAGGTGGGAGAATCACCTGAGTCCAGGAAGTTGAGGCCGCAGTGAGCCGTTATTGTGCCTGCACTCCAGCCTGGGAGACAGAATGCCACTCTGTCTCAGAACAAAACAAAACAAACGGGGGCCCCCAAAATACTTGAACCTGTTCAAAATACTTGAACTTGACTTATAAGGAACCTGCCCAATTTATAAGGCGGAAGTCAATGTGATTCCTGGAATAGGAGGTGGGGAAACAGGTCCTCTCTTTAATCTCATTGCTGTCCCAAATGACACCAACTCCCCCAGGATGAAGTCGTCATCTTCGGTGACCACTTCTGAGACCCACCCCTGCACGCCCAGCTCCGGCGATGACTCGGACCTAGAGAGAGTGAAACAGGTAGCCTGGGGTGGAGGTTGGGGGCCACAGCAAGAGAGGTCTAGGTCTGGCCCCTGCCACTGGCATGCTGTATGATCCTAGATAACATCTCAGAAACCTCAGGTTTCCAATCTGACAAATGGACAGACTGGATTGGATCAGGGATGACCCTGACCTCACGCCCTCAGGCACCTCCGGTGCCTGTAACAGACATTATTCTATCATCACACTCATTCCAGATGAGTGCCTTGAATCCTTTCCACACATTGACCCAGCTGTCCCTCACCAATTAGAGTTGGCAGGGGGCTGGAATGCACTTGCCAACCTTGGTACTGGATGTTCTCCAGTACTTTTCCGGCTCCAAGGTTCCAGAATTCTCCCCGAGAATCCTCCAGTCACTCTGCGACCTTGGCAGCCATGTCATGGTGTTGGGGTAGGCATGGGTCTCAAACCTACTCCCTCTGGCTTTTCCATCAACCAGAAAGAGGGGACTCTGGCAAGGTGCAGTGGCTCATGTCTGTAATTCCAGCACATTGCGAGGCTGAGGTGGGAGCACTGCTTGAGTTCAGGAGTTCAAGACTAGCCTGGGGAAACATAGGAAGACCCCATCTCTAAAAAATGATTTTTAAAAATTACCTAAGAAGGCCAACCACGGTGGCTCACGCCTGTAATCCCAGCACTTTGGGAGGCCGAGGTGGGTGGATCACCTGAGGTCAGGGGTTTGAGACCAGCCTGGCCAACATGGTAAAACCCTGCCTCTATTAAAAATACAAAAATTAGCTGGGCCTGGTCATGTGCGCCTGTAATCCCAGCTCTTTGGGAGGCTGAGGCAGGAGAATCTCTTGAACCCAGGAGGCTGAGGTTGCAGTGAGCCAAGATCGCACCACTGCACTCCAGCCTGGGTAACAGAGTAAGACTCTGTCTCAAAAAAAAAAAAAAGAAATTACCTGAGCGTGGTGGTGCCTGTCTGTGGTCCCAGCTACTTGGAAGGATAAGGCAGGAGGATTACCTGAGCCTGGGAGGTTGAGACTTTAATGTGCTGTGAACATGCCATTGCACTCTAGCGCAGGGCAACAGAGCAAGACCCCGTCTCAAAAAATAAAAGAGATTGGTTCCTGCAAGTCCCAGTACCCCCTCCTGATTACTTGTACCCCATTAATTTTAGGAGCTTCTGGAAGAGGTGAAGAAGGAGCTGCAGAAAGTGAAAGAGGAAATCATTGAAGGTGAGGTGGTTTGGTTTGGTTTTGTTCTTCAACATTTACTTACTTCGGAGGCATCACGTCCCTAGACAAGAGCCCTGCTTTGGAAGAGAAGAGGCAGAGACTCTGCCCCTGACCTCTGCTCTGTTTCCTTCCAGCCTTTGTCCAGGAGCTGAGGAAGCGGAGTTCTCCCTGACCACAGGGACTCAGAAGACCTGATTCTCCTTTCCGCACACCCCGCCTGTCACCCTGCTTTCCCTGCCTCTACTTGACTTGGAATTGGCTGAAGACTACACAGGAATGCATTGTTCCCACTCCCCATCCCACTTGGAAACCTCCAAGGGGGCGTGGCTTCTCTGGCGCCCTGCCCACACCCACACTGGCTGCTGATTGGCTGGGGAGGCCCCCGCCCTTTTCTCCCTTTGGTCCTTCCCCTCTGCCATCCCCTTGGGGCCGGTCCCTCCGCTGGGGATGCACCAATGAACCCCACAGGAAGGGGGAAGGAAGGAGGGAATTTCACATTCCCTTGTTCTAGATTCACTTTAACGCTTAATGCCTTCAAAGTTCTGGTTTTTTTTTTTTAAGAAAAAAAAAATATATATATATATATTTGGGTTTTGGGGGAAAAAGAAATTTTTTTTTCCTCTTTGGTTTTGATAAAATGGGGTGTGGGAGTTTTTAAATGCTATAGCCCCGGCCTTGCCCCATTTGGGGCAGCTATTTAAGGGGAGGGGATGTCTCACCAGGCTGGGGGTGCCTCCCCTCCACCCCAGGGACTCCTCTTCCCTCTGGCTCCTCCCCCTTTTCTATGAGGAATTAAGATGCTGTAACTTTTTTGAACCTCAGTTTTTGATTTTTTTTATTTGGGTAGGTTTTGGGGTCCAGGCCATTTTTTTTACCCCTTGGAGAAAATAAGATGAGGGACAAAGGAAAAGGGGAGGAAACTTCTCCCCTCCCACCTTCACCTTTAGCTTCTTGAAAATGGGCCCCTGCGGAATAAATCTGCCAGTTTTTATAAATGCTAAGATCTCGAGTGATTTGAAGGGCTGTTCCGATGGGGATAGAGGCGTGCTCGGCACCTGGTGCCCCTCCAGGAAGATTTGGTCCTCTGCTGAGAACCCCTTCCTCTGCCAAGGAACCCACCTTCCCTCATCTGCCCTCCTGCCTTGCACATTGCGCCTGCTCCCGCATCCTCAGGCCCGCAGCCAGGATGATCTCTGCCCCCTCCAACCTTCCTCCCGATGCCCCTTATGAGGCCACTTCCTGCCCATCCCACCCTGCCGTTCGCCATGGGGGCAGGACAGAAGCAGCCTCACTTTGTGTGGCCTTGGGGAAGTCCATTTGCTTACCCCAGGCCTCAGTTTCCCAATTTGGGAAAGGGCTTATGGGACAATTTTCTGCCCCCACTTTACCACTCTTGCAGCTGCTTTCCTTCCTACCTTATTTGAGACCGTCTCTCTCATGCAGGCTGGAGTGCAATGGCGCGATCTCGGCTTACTGCAACCTCCGCCTCCCTGGTTCAAGCGATTCTCCTGCCTCAGCCTCCCGAGTAGCTGGGACTATAGGCACCTGCCACTATGCCCGGCTAATTTTTGTATTTTTGGTAGAGATGGGGTTTCACCATATTGGCTACGCTGGTCTCTAACTCCTGACCTTGTGATCTGCCTGCCTTGGCCTTCCAAAGTGCTGTGATTACAGGTTTAAGTCACTGCGCCAGGCTTTTTTTTTTTTTTTTTTTGAGTTGGGGTCTGTCACCCAGGCTAGAGTGGAGGGGCAGGATCACAGCTCACTACAGCCTTGAACTCCTGAGCTCAAGGCATCCTCCTCCCTCAGCCTCCCAAGTAGGTAGAACTACAGGCGCTTGCCACAACGCCCAGCTAACATTTTTCTTTTTCATAGAGATGCGGTCTTGCTATGTTGCCCAGGCTGGTCTCCAGCTCCTGCCTCGAGCAGTCCTCCTGCTTTGGCCTCCCAATATGCTGGGATTACAGGTGTGAGCCACTGTGTCCAGCCTTCTTTCCTAACTTCGGTGACATTTTGCAGATGCACATCATGGCTCTCTGACACATTCTTAAGATCTTTACCCCAGAGTTCCTTTAATTATAAAACACTGACAGTATTTAAAAAGTAGCATTTAGAGTCACAGAGCTCATCCACGCCCCCTTCAGTTTTCGGGCGGGTAGGTCATATGCCCTGGTGGAATACCCCGTTTGGATGGAGGGACCTCAGGGCTGAGGGACAGGGAGTCCCCTGGAGGAGGCCTTCCCGTGAAGGAGGGCGGAGGGGGACCGGGGCCAGTCCAAAGGCAGGAAGGAAGGGCGAACCCTGAGAACTCTGAGGGGCCGATTGGACGGAAGACGGGCGACCTGACGATGACTTAGGTAGTAACGGGGCAGGCCAGTCCCTAGCAGAGGCGACTGAAGAGGACAGCGAGAGAGGTAAAAGGACAGTAGCGGGTCCGGAACTGGGGAATGGTGACCAAGTGACTGAGACTGAAAGGCAGAATGAATTAGCCCTGCTCAGGACCGGTGTTTCCTCCCAAGATTCGGTGGTCCTGCTGAAACAGATCACAGAATGCCAGGCTGGGAGGCATTGCCCTGGAAGACCCAGCACAGCCATGCCAGTGGGTTGTGCCGAAGGCAGGAAGGAAGAGGGGTGTGCTGTTGGAACGATCCACTGAGGGAGGGGAGGGTGCCAGTCGCAGGTACTAACGGTGGATTAAGGTCAGGAGCCAACACAGTCCAGGATTCACCCCCACCTCCTTTCCCCCTAAGACTGAGATAGATGGAAGGGGGCGGGGCGGGAAGTCCTTAGGAACTTTGTGCATCTTTTCAATGGTCTCTACCAATCAGGAGGTAGGGGGTGTTCGGTGCAAAGAATGAGCGTCCTAGTGGGAGGGTCCACTCAGGTGAGTGAAGGTGCGGGTGACAGAATGACAGGTCGGCTAAATCCAGGTGCAGAATCCAATTTCGTTTTGCCAAAAGAGGGGGACGTCCTGCTGCCCTACCTAGCGGCAGGGAGGTGGGGTCTGCTAAAAGCCGCTGTCTTTCCGAAGTGCTCAACCAATGCGCTGGCTGGGGCGGGGTGAGGACGGGGTCCTTGTTGGAACGTTCCACCTGCAGGAGGGGGAAGTCCAGTAGAAGGTACCACTGGGGCAGGCTAGTAGGGAGGTTGGATCAGCTCCAGTCCAGGATCTCTCCAGCGCCCTCAAAGGACTGGGTGGTGTCAGCTGCGCCGGTCCGAGTTGTGACAGTGCGGAGAAGAGGCCAAGTCGGAGACTGCAGTCCAGGCAGCAGTCACCGCCAAGACCATGGCCCCGAGGCCTCCTATTCCTCCGACTCTGGCTCAGCCGGGGATGCAGGTGGCAGGTCCTGGAGGCAGAGCACGGCTCGCACCTCTTGTAGCTGAGCGCGCAGCTCCTCCAGGGCGAGCTGCGTCGGAACCGCCGCGTGCACCTGCGCCTGCAGCTCCTCGAGCGCCAGCCCCAAGTGGCCCACCTCGCCCTGCAGCTCCTCCCTGGCAACGCGTCGCTCCTTTTCCTTGCGGCGATGCTGCAACTGGTGGCGCCAGTACTCCAGCATCAGGCAGCTGCAGGCGGTCATGAAGATGATGCCTTCGCCCAGCAGCTCCGCGCCCAGCTCGGCTGCTGCCCCCTCGTTCAGCGGCTTGACCGCAGCGGCATTGAAGCCCATGATGCGCATTTTGGTCCGCATCTCCACCCAGTGGTACACTGCAGGGAAAGAGAGGAGTCAGGGATCTTTTGCAGGGCAGCCCCCTGCAAGCCCCGCCCCTCTGTGCCTCGATGTCCCCGTTATAGCAATGGGGATGTGGTCACCACAATCGCCCGGGTGCTGGAGGGGGCGCCGTAAGGAAGACAAGCGCGGGCCTCACACCCGGAATCCTGTAGGGAAAACTTCCTTAACTAACGACTTACTACTCATGTGAAGCTGGAATGTCAGCTTTTGCATTGTTGTAAACAGCAGCACAGAAGATGCTGATGCTTTTTTTTTCCTTTCAAACAGGGTGTTGCTCTGTCGTCCAGGCTGTAGTGCAGTGGTTCGAGCTCAGCTCACTATAGCCTTTGCCTCCCAGATTCAAGCCATTCTGGTACCTTAGCCTCCAAGTAGCTTGGATCAATGGTGTGTGTCACCATGTCAGCTCCTTTTTTTTTTTTTTTTTCCCCCCTGCATTTTTAGTAGAGACCAGTTTTCACTGTGTTGGTCAGGCTGGTCTTGAACTCCTGGCCTCAAGTGATCCACCCACCTCAGCCTCCCAAAGTTCTGGGATTTAAGGCATTAGCCACCGCACCTGGCCAATTTTTTACTGTTTATTGGTAACCTTTGTAATTGTTTTGTGCAATACTTTGTGCTGCCTGAAAGTGAAAGTATAGACCATGTATAATATTAAGGTTATGGAAATATTCATCTTGTGGATCCATAATGAAGATGTACTTTTATTTCACTAAACCCGTGGCGTGTGAAGCATTATCATTAAATGCTGGCTGGACACACTGCTTCATATTGTGACACATTTTTGTTTTATTTCAGCTTTGATCTGAGTGTATGAAGGTTTTAGTTTTTCCTAGAATGATGATTCTCAAACTATGTGACCCACAAAAATTCACCATGGGACCAAGATCATCCATAAGTTTGCTCCTATTCTGTTTATTAAATAGTCATGGACACACTGGCTGTTCCCTGGGCTGCTGCAGTATGTCTTCACACCTTCCTTCATATGGCTCATCCTCTTTTGAGAAACGTGATTCCTCTTTGTTGAATTTCATTCTAGTTTTCCTGAAGTATATCCGTAAGTACCTTTTGCAGAAAGGGTGCTTGGTAGCTCAGTGTTTTGAATATCTGAAATGTCTTTTTCCACCTTCACATTAGATTAGATAATAAATTCTAGCCCCAGAATGACTAGTTCGAAATCCTATTCCCCAGCAGTTTGGTGACCTGGTTCCATGACGTGTAAAGGCAGAGGGGCTTGTTGTCATCCCTGTGGCACTGACATTGCACCAAGATGGGTGTTTCTCTCATTCCCCTTATTTCAAGCTCTTCTATCTTCTATCCAAATCACATTTCTCTCTTTAGCCCTTCAAGTTTTTCTTGTCTGCTCAGTAAATGATTAACCTCACCCAAACAGAGGTCTCACCTTTGCCTTTTACTCCTCAGAGCTAATCTTTGAGTTCTTGGAATGTTCAGCCTGAGTAGACTGTCTTTGTTTACCTGGGGCCTTGGGCCACATCAAATGGTTTGTGCTAACAGTAGTGATTTATGGTGGTGACTTTGGGCCATGTAGTATCAGCTTAACCTCTGGAGGGGCTAGAATTTAAGGGGAACCACACAAGCGGTCAGCCTTGTCTACATGCAGATCCCTATTAAAAACCCGACGCCGGGCGCGGTGGCTCACGCCTGTAATCCCAGCACTTTGGGAGGCCGAGGCAGGTCGATCACGAGGTCAAGAGATCGAGACCATCCTGGTCAACATGGTGAAACCCCGTCTCTACTAAAACAATCCAAAAAAATTAGCTGGGCATGGTGGTGCGTGCCTGTAATCCCAGCTACTCAGGAGGCTGAGGCAGGAGAATTGCCTGAACCCAGGAGGCGGAGGTTGCGGGGAGCCGAGATGGCGCCATTGCACTCCAGCCTGGGTAGCAAGAGCGAAACTCCGTCTCAAAACAAAAACAAAAACGTGTATTGAAACGCAAAGAGCCAAGAATACCAATAGTGAAGAAAAAAACTGAAGACCTGGCCGGACGCGGTGGCTCACGCCTATAATCCCAGCACTTTGGGAGGCCGAGGCGAGTGGATCACGAGGTCAAGAGATCAAGACCATCCTGGTCAACATGGTGAAACCCTGTCTCTACTAAACATACAAAAAATTAGCCAAGCACGGTGGCGCACGCCTGTAGTCCCAGCTACTCGGGAGGCTGAGGCAGGAGAATTGCTTGAACCCAGGAGGTGGAGGTTGCAGTGAGCCAAGATTGTGCCATTGCACTCCAGCCTGGGTAACAAGAGCGAAACTCCGTCTCAAAAAAAAAAAAAAAAAAAAAAAACCTGAAGACCTTACACTACCAAATGCAAAGCAGCTATCATAAAGCTATAATAATTAAAACAGTGTGGCATTTGTACATTAATAGACAGGCCAATGGTAAAGAGTAGGAAATATTCACACATGCAGTCACATGACTTGTGACAAACATGACACTGTGGTGTAGCGGGAAAAGAATGACCTTTTCAAGACATGCTGTTAGAGCACCTGAATATGCACAGGGAAACAAACCTTAACATCTACCTCACATAATACATAAAAATTCATTCCACAGGGATTGTAGGTCAAAATATGAGAGACACAAAAATAACATTTTTAGAAAAAAAAAAAAAACATAGGAGGCTGGGTGTTTACTGGCTCATGCCTATAAACTCTGTGCTTTGGGTGGCCAAAGTGGGAGGATTGCTTCAGGCTAGGGGTTCAAGACCATACTGAACCATACTGGGCTACATGGTGAAACCCCATCTCTACAAAAAATAAAAAAAATTAGCCAGGTATGGTAGTGTACCTGCCACCATGTCAGGCTAATTTTTTTTTTTTTTTTTGAGAGAGAGTTTCACTCTTGTTTCCCGTTTGGAATACAATGGCAGGATCTCAGCTCACTGCAACCTCTGCCTCCCAGATTCAAATGATTCTCCTGCCTTCGCCTCCAAAATTGCTGGGATTACAGGTGCCTGCCACAACACCCGATTAATGTTTTATATTTTTAGTAGAAACAGGGTTTCACCATGTTGGCCAGGCTGGTCATGAACTCGTGACCTCAGGTGATCCACCTGCCTCGGCCTCCCAAAGTGCTGGGATTACAGGGTGAGCCACCTCGCCCAGCCTTTCTTTTGTATTTTTAGTAGAGATGGGGATTCACCATGTTGACCAGGCTGGTCTCAAACTTTTTTTGTTTTTTTGAAACGGAGTCTCGGCCGGGCACGGTGGCTCAAGCCTGTAATCCCAGCACTTTGGGAGGCCGAGGCAGGTGGATCACAAGGTTGAGAGATCGAGACCATCCTGGTCAACATGGTGAAACCCCGTCTCTACTAAAGATACAAAAAAATTAGCTGGGCATGGTGGCGCACGCCTGTAATCCCAGCTACTCAGGAGGCTGAGACAGGAGAATTGCCTGAACCCAGGAGGCGGAGGTTGCGGTGAGCCGAGATCGCGCCATTGCACTCCAGCCTGGGTAACAAGAGCGAAACTCCATCTCAAAAAGAAAAAAAAAAAAAAAAGAAACGGAGTCTCAATCTGTCATCCCGGCTGGAGGGCAGTGGCACAATCTCGGCTCACTGCAACCTCCGCCTCCCAGCCACTCAGGAGGCTGAGCCAGAGGATCACATAAACCCGGGAGTTGAAGGCTGTAATGGGCTGTGGTGGCGCCACCACATTCCAGCCTGGGCAATAAAAAAGCAAGACCCTATCTCAAACAAACAAACAAACTTTCATTCTTCAAAGACACCAGCAAGAGAGGGAAAAGGCAAGTCATCGACTGGAAGAAGCCATTTGCAATAGATCAATCTGACAAATAACTCAAATTCAGGACATACAGGACCTCCTGCTAATCAAAAGGGGAAAGGCAGGCAACCCAGCAGGGAAGGACTTAACTCACAAAAGAGGGCGGTATCTTTTCCTTTTCCTTTTTTTTTTTTTTTTGAGACAGGATATCACTCTCTCTCCCAGGCTGGAGTGCAGTGGTGCAATCACAGCTCACTACAGCCTCTACTTTCTGGGCTCAAGTGACTATCTCACCTCAGCCTCTCAAGTAGCTAGGACCACAGGTGTGTGCCACCATGCTCAGCCAATTTTTATATTTTTTGTAGAGATGGGGCCTCACTGTGTTGCCCAGGCTGGTCTCAAACTCCTAGGCTCAAATGATCTGCCTGCGTCAGCCTCCCAAAGTGCTGGGATTACAGGTGTGAGCCTACGTATGTTGTATTTCAGTGAAAAGGTTTCATGAACCCAAATGAGCCCAAGATACCTAGCAACCTTCCAGATGTCCTTTTGTTACTGTCATTGTTGAGACAGAGTCTCGCTGTGTCACCCAGGCTGGAGTGCAATGGCGCGATCTCGGCTCACTGCAACCTGTGCCTCCCAGGGTCAAGTCATTCTCCTGCCTCAGCCTCCCCAGCAGCTGGGATTACAAGCACCTGCCACCTTGCAAGGCAATTTTTTTGTTTTGTTTTGTTTTGCATTTTTAGTAAAGACAGGGGCTTCGCCATATTGGCCAGGCTGGTCTCAAACTTCTGACTTCAGATGATCCGCCTGCCTCGGCCTCCCTAAGTGCTGGGATTACAGCCACGTATGTATGCATGGCCCCAGATCTCTGAGTTTCGCTTGCACAACAGGTGAGAGTAAAGAGATAAATGCCACCTCCCAGCACAAGGCATTTCTACCACGCTTTCTCTTTCCCTTGCCTTGGGTAGCCAGATTTGGCCCTGGCCTCCTTCCAAGGAGCCTGAGACTTCAAACTTCAAGCCTCCAGGCTTGTTCTCACCACACCTTTCTGCTCGAAGCCTATTTAACTCCTTGCTGCTGGGAAATCACACTTGGCAATCGACTGCCTGGGACTGAAAACTCTGGTGCTAAGAGGAACGATGGCCTAATGAAGTCCCCAGGCTCTGACAGGTGGAGCGAGTTATGATGAGGCCTTAAAACTTTCCACTAAGCCCTCTGAGTGGCCACTGAGGGTCAGTTATTACTAGAGGGCAAAATGGGTTCAGAATCCATGACTGAGAATGTCTAGTCCTCACTGGAAATGGGAAGCAGAGGGATGGGGCGTGCCTGCAGCCTGTGCTGAGGACCCAGAGAAAATAATGGCACATTCTTACATTAAAAAAAAGAGTTCGGGGCCCTCCCAGGAGCCAGCTGGGCCGTAGAGACCCCCCACCCCCACCCAGGCGGCGCTGAAGGAACTGAGAGGCAGACACTCAGAACAGCAAAGTGGGACTATCCGGAGGACCAGCAGCCTTCCACGCTGAGAGCCTCAGGAGCTGACAGCATTCCAGGCTGAAGGGCCCAGACAGCCTCTGAGCCCCACATTGATTCTCTCTGAACACGTGATCATTATTAACAAACAAATGACACAAAACACGCCAAGCAAGCAGCTGGTACCCGCTTACCACTGATCACAGACAACCTATAAAGTATTCTCCACGAGGGAGCCGTGGGGGCAGGGTCAGCTATCCAAGGAATGGTTTTTTTTTTTTTTTTTTTTTTTTTTTGAGACGGCGTTCCGCTCTTGTTACCGAGACTGGAGTGCAATGGCGCGATCTTGGCTCACCGCAACCTCCGCCTCCTGGGTTCAGGCAATTCTCCTGCCTCAGCCTCCTTAGAAGCTGGGATTACAGGCACGCGCCACCATGCCCAGCTAATTTTTTATATACATATATTTTTTAGTAGAGACGGGGTTTCACGGTGTTGACCAGGATGGTCTCGATCTCTTGACCTCATGATCCACCCGCCTTGGCCTCCCAAAGTGCTAGGATTACAGGCTTGAGCCACCGCACCCGGCCCCAAGGAATGGTTTTAACCGGTGTATGATGTTCATACATTCTCCTGCCACTTCAGAATGCTCAGAGCAGTTTTCTACTGGGAGTGGGGGACGGCTAGGTTTTCCTTGCGATCGTTCTTCCTAGCAAACAATATATTCTACCATACAATCAGCATTTCTCAACATTCACACACTTAACGTTTCTCACCACGGCCCGGCATGATGGCTCGTGCCTGTAACACCAGCACTTTGGGAGGCTGAGGTAGAAAGACTGTTTGAGGAGACCAGCCTGGATGACATAGTGAGACTTTGTCTCTACAAAAAAATCCCTCCCAGAAAACTGTGACGAATGGTTAAGAGGGTATTTTATACTTTTATTTATTTTTATTTTTATTTTTTTTGCTTTTTTTTTTTTTGAGACAGGCAGCCCACAATATATTTATGCTTTTATAATATAATTTTATATTATGTGCCTTTTACCCTAATTTTTTAAAAAATTCAAATTTCATTCACAATTAAGACTATAAATCTGGGCTGGACATGGTGGCTCATGCCTGTAAATCTCAGCACTTTGGGAGGCTGAGACAGATGAATCACCTGAGGTCAGGAGTTCGAGACCAGCCTAGCCAACATGGTAAAACCCCATTTCTATGAAACGTACAAAAATTAGCTGGGTATGGTGGCACATGCCTGTAATCCCAGCTACTAGGGAGGTTGAGGCAGGACAATTGCTGGAACCTGGGAGACAGAGGTTGCAGTGAGCCAAAATCGTGCCACTGCACTCCAGCCTCGGTAACAGAGACTCCATCTCAAAAACAAACAAACAAACAAAAACGCATAGATCTAAGTAGTCTTACAGAAGTAAAGGCTCAAAAGGAAAACCTGAAATTGAAGATTTTATGTCACAATGTATATAATTTAAGCTACAATTTTCAACCACAGTAGTTAAAACCAGACCAAGCCAAAAAAGGTGAATTCACTCATTTTGCTTCCTTAACAGTGCCTTTTACCCAGAAGCATGATTTTGAAGACAGACCACATTTCACAATTCTGAAATACTTCACAAATGTCATGATTTGCAAATAGAAAACAAAAACAAAAACAAAAACCCAGAACAAATAAGCTTTATGTATTTCAACACAGAAAAATCCCCGAAATATAATGTAGAGTGAAGAAACATAAGTTTCCAAAGATAGGAGATATGAATGTAAAAGATACATAGGGCTGGGCGCTGTGGCTCACTCTGGCAATCCCAGTGCTTTGGGAGGCCAAGGCAAGAGGATCACCCTGTCTCTACAAAAATTTTTTAAAAATTAGCCAGGCATGGTGGTACATGCCTGTAGTCCTAGCCAATGGGGAGACTGAGGCAGGAGGGTTGTTTGAGCCAGGGAGGTTGAGGCTGCTGTGGGCCCTGATCACAACCCTGCACTCCAGCACGGATGACGGACGGAGACTCTAGCTCTGGAAAAAAAAAAAAAAAAAAAGATACATATGAGATAAATACAAAAGGTCAGTCCTGGTGCCAGGGCTCATGCCTGTAATCCCAGCACTTTGGGAGGCCAAGGAAGGTGGGTCACTTGAGGTCAGGAGTTCAAAACCAGCCTGGCCAACATGATGAAACCCCATCTCTACTAAAAATACAAAAGTTAGCCAGGTGCAGTGTCGGGCGTCTATAATCCCAGCTACTCTGAGGCTGAGGCAGAATTGCTTGAACCCGCGAGATGGAGGTTGCAGTGAGCTGAGATTGCACCACTGCACTCTAGCCTGGGCAACAGGGCAAGACTCCATCTTAAAAAACAAACAAAAAACAAAAAAAACCTCAACAATAGGTGGTCGGCCAGGAGCGGTGGCTCACGCCTGTAATCCCAGCACTTTGGGAGGCCGAGGCGGGTGGATCACGAGGTCAAGAGATCGAGACCATCCTGGTCAACATGGTGAAACCCCGTCTCTACTAAAAATACAAAAAATTAGCTGGGCATGGTGGCGCGTGCCTGTAATCCCAGCTACTCAGGAGGCTGCGGCAGGAGAATTGCCTGAACCCAGGAGGCAGAGGTTGCGGTGAGCCGAGATCGTGCCATTGCACTCCAGCCTGGGTAACAAGAGCGAAACTCCGTCTCAAAAAAAAAAAAAAAAAAAAAAAAAACAATAGGTGGTCAAGCAACCGAGTCAAAGAAAGAGACAAAAGGTTTGAATAGACATTTCATCAAAGAAGTATATGAACAGCCAACGCACACATGAAAAGATCCTCAACACATGACTTAGTGGAGAAATACAAGTCAAATTCACAACGAGACGCCATTTCCCAGCCACTAGAATGGCTAGTCAAAACAGTGAACAACCCCAATGCTTCCAAAGTTGCTGTATTAGTCAGTTTTCACACTGCTATAAATTCTGCGAATGGGTAATTAGTAAAGAGATTTAATTGACTCACAGTTCTGAATGGCTGGGGAGGCCCGAGGAAACTTAGAATCATGGCAGAAAGCAAAGGAGACACAGACACCTCCACACAGTGCAGCAGGAGCGAGCAGTGGGAGAGTCGGGAAAAACTTTTAAACGCATCAGATCTCGCGAGAATTCACTCTTATCAGGAGAACAGCATGGGAGAAAACGCCCCCGTTACCCAATCACCTCCCTCCCTTGACACGTGGGGCCGATAGCTGGAGATGAGATTTGGGCGGAGATACGGAGCAAACTGTATCAGTTGTAGAGTAACAAAAACTTTCGTATGTCACTGATGGAAATACAAAATGGTGCAGCCACTTTGGAAAATATTTCGGCAGTTTCCTAAAAAGTTAAACTTAGGCTAAGTGCTGTGGCTTACACACCTGTAATCCCAGCACTCTGGGAGGCTATGCGTTGCTTGAACCCAGGAGTTCAAGACCAGCCTGGGCAACATTGTGAAACCCTGTCTCTACAAAACACACACACACACACACACACACACACACACACAAATTAATATTCTTATTTTTTCTGCCATGCTTGGCTAATTTTCGTATATTTTGTAGGGACGAGGTCTCACTAATATTGCCCAGGCTGCTCTCAAACTCCTGAGCTTAAGCGATCCACCTACTACTGTCTCCCAAACTGCTGGGATTACAGGCATGAGCACTGCATCCAGCCAAAGCCCACAAAAATTAGCCAGGCATGGTGGTGCATGCCTGTAGTCCCAGCTATTGGGGTGGGGGTGGGGCTGAAGCCAGATGTAAAAGAAGATGCATTGTATGACTGCATTTACATGGTATGTTCCAAATAGGGCAATCTATTGATCTATTGAGGCAGAAGGTAGACTAGCGATTTCTAGGGGCTGAAGGAAGGAGAATGGAGAGTGACTGCAAATGATTTGCTTATTTTTGAGACAGAGTCTTATTCTGTCACTCAAGCTGGAGTGCAGTGGTGCCATCTCAGCTCACTGCAACCTCCATCTCCTGGGTTCAAGCAATTCTCCTGCCTCAGCCTCCTAAGTACCTGGGATTACATGCGCCTGCCACCATGCCTAATTTTTGGATTTGTAGTAGAGACGGGGTTTTATCATGTTGGTCAAGCTAGTCTTGAACTTCTGACCTCAGCTTCCCAAAGTGCTGGGATTACAGGGGTGAGCCACTGTATTTTAATTTTTATAATTTATTTTTATTTGTAGAGGAGGGGTCTTGCTATGTTTCCCAGGCTGTTCTTCTGTTCTTCAACTCCTGAGCTCAACCAGTCCTCCTGTCTCAGCCTCCCAAAGTGCTGGGGTTACAGGTGTGAGCACTGCACCCGGCCGACTTTCCTATTTTAGGAGCAAGAAGTAAACTCCATTCACTCAGTATCATTACACATCTTGGGTCTCTGTTACAGCATTGACATCCCTAACTATAAACCTCTCAAGGTTCCTGCTGGTTTTCTTAACCTCCGGTGAGCTAACCTGATATCCCTCCAGTAAGATCTTTTTCTGCTTCAGTTAGCCCAGGAAGGTTCGGTCGCTGGCAATGTAGTCATTTTGCAACTGTTTACTCTGTGCTAAGCAACTTCCTAAGTGTTCTGCATGTGTTAACTGACCCACTTTCAGAATAACCTTACAAAGGAAGTTCTGTTATCACGCACAAGATGCCCACTGACTTGCCCAAGCTCACCCAACTGGTATGAGGCAGAGCTAGGGATTGACTCCAGGAATTTTGGGATCAGAGCCCAAACTCTGCCCATGATGCTCCACTGCTCTCCAGACAGATGATCTAAGCCTAACAAGACTGCAAGCTACACACACATTCATAGGAGCCCTGTTCATAGCCACCATGCAGAAGAAACAACCCCAATGTCCAACAGATGTATGAATGAACAAATTGTGGTCTAGCCTTACAATGGACTATTATTCAGCCATAAATAGGGATGATGGGGGCCAGGCCTGGTGGCTCATGCCTGTAATCCCAGCACTTTGGGAGGTGGATCACCTGAGGCCAGGAGTTTTGAGACCAGCTTGACCAACATAGAGAAATCCTGTCTCTACTACAAATACAAAATTAGCCAGGCATGGTGGCGAATTCCTATCATCCCAGCTACTCGGGAGACTGAGGCAGGAGAACTGCTTGAACCCGGGAGGCAGATGTTGCAGTGAGCCAAGACTGCACCATTGCACTCCAGCCTGGGCAACAAGAGCAAAATCCAGCCTCAAAAAAAAAAAAAAAAAAAAAAAAAAGGATGATGAGCTGGTACCTGCTACAACATGGATGAACCTTGGAAACTTTATGTTACTCGGGAAGCTGAGGCATGAGAATCGCTTGAACCTGACAGGCAGAGATTGCAGTGAGCTGAGATTGTGCCACTGCACTCCAGCCTGGGCAACAGAGCAAGACTCTGTCTCAAATAAATAAATAAATAAATAAATAAATAAATAAATAAAGCCGGGTGCAGTGGCTCATGCCTGTAATCCCAGCACTTTGGGAGGCAACGGTGGCTAGATCACGAGGTCAGGAGTTCAAGACCAGCCTGACCAACATAGTGAAACCCTGTCTCTATTAAAAATATAAAAAATTAGGCCGGGCGCGGTGGCTCAAGCCTGTAATCCCAGCACTTTGGGAGGCCGAGGCGGGTGGATCACGAGGTCGAGAGATCGAGACCATCCTGGTCATCATGGTGAAAGCCCGTCTCTACTAAAAATATGAAAAATTAGCTGAGCATGGTGGCGCGTGCCTGTAATCCCAGCTACTCAGGAGGCTGAGGCAGGAGAGTTGCTTGAACCCAGGAGGCGGAGGTTGCAGTGAGCCGAGATCACGCCATTGCAGTCCAGCCTGGGTAACAAGAGTGAAACTCCGTCTCAAAATAAATAAATAAATATATATATATATATATATATATATATATATATATATATATATATATATATAAAATTAGCCGGACGTGGAAGTGGGTACCTGTAATCCCAGCTACTTGGGAGGCTGAGGCAGGAGAATCACTTTAACCTGGGAAGTAGAGGTTGCAGTGAGCCAAGATTGCACCACTGCAGTCCAGCCTGGGTGACACAGCAAGACTCTGTCTCAAAAATAATGAATAATAAATAAATAAAGTCAGACACAAAAGACCACATATTATGTGATTTCATTTATATGAAATGTCCAGAATAGGTAAATCCATAGAGACAGATTATCAGACTGGTGACTGCCAGGGGCAGGAGGGGGAGTGGATAGGGAGTGACCGTTTAGTCAGTGCCAGGGGGAGTGGATAGGGAGTGACCGTTTAGTCAGTGCCAAGTTTTATTTTGGGGAGATGAAAACGTTCTGGAACCAGACAGTGGTAATGGTTCCACACTGTGAAGGTACTCAGTGTTGCTGAATTGTTCCCTATACAAAGGTTAATTTTATGTTTTTTGATTTCACATCAATTAAAAAAAATGGGCCGGGCGCGGTGGCTCAAGCCTGTAATCCCAGCACTTTGGGAGGCCGAGGCGGGTGGATCACGAGGTCGAGTGATCGAGACCATCCTGGTCAACATGGTGAAACCTCGTCTCTACTAAAAATACAAAAAATTAGCTGGGCATGGTGGTGCGTGCCTGTAATCCCAGCTACTCAGGAGGCTGAGGCAGGAGAATTGCCTGAACCCAGGAGGCGGAGGTTGCGGTGAGCTGAGATCGCGCCATTGCACTCCAGCCTGGGTAACAAGAGCAAAACTCCGTCTCAAAAAAAAAAAAAAAAAAAAAAAAAAAGGCCAGGCAGGTGTTACTTGGTGTGGCTCACCCTGGGTGTCCACATATGTCAAAATATCAAATTAAACATGTCATATATGTGCATGACATTGTATGTCACTTATACTTCAATAACGCTGCTATAAAATGGAAATCAAGGCTGGGCAAGGTGGCTCACACCTGTAATCCCAACACTTTGGGAGGCTGAAGTGAGTAGATCACCGGAGGTCAGGAGTTCGAGACCAGCCTGGCCAACATAGTGAAACCCTGTCTCTACTAAAAATATAATAATTAGCCAAGTGTGGTGGCAGGTGCCTGTAATCCCAGCTATGCAGGAGCCTGAGGCAGGAGAATCACTTGAACCCATGAGGTGGAGGTTGCAGTGAGCTGAGATGGCGCCACTGCACTCCAGCCTGGGTGACAGAGCAAGACTCTGACTCAAAAAAAAAAAAAGAAAGAAAGAAAGAAAAAGAAAATCAAGACAAGGTGGGATGAGCATCTACTTCAAAACAGAGAAAAAAGGGGCTGGACATGGTGTCTCACGTCTGTAATCCCAGCGCTTTGGGAGATGAAGCAGGCAGATGGCATGAGCTCAGGAGTTCATGACCATCCTGGGCAAACAGAGACCCCCATCTCTACCAAAAATTAAGAAATTAGCTGAGTTCCAATGCAAGGAGAAAAAAGAAAGAAATCAGCTGAGTGTGGTGGCGGCACACCTATAGTCCCAGCGATTCTGGAGGCTGACGTGGGAGGACTACTTGAGCCTGGGAGGCTGAGGCTGCAGTGAGCTGTGATGGCGACACCACACTCCAGCCTGGGTGAAAGAGCAAGACCCTGTCTGAAGCAAAACAAGACAAACAAAAAAACAGAAACAGAGGCTGAGCACAGTGGCTCACACCTGTAATCCCAGCTGCAAAGTCTCTTCCTAGAGTAAAAGGTAGTTTCCACGCTGGCCCAGGAGAGCCCACATTATGCAGGTTTGTAAAATACATACATCATATGTACATGCTTTTCTTTTTTCCTGCTCATCCTTTCAGAACATGAAACATGTTTTGTTTTGTTTTTTTGTTTTTTTTTTTTGAGGCAGGGTCTCAGTCTGTGGCCAGGCTGGGGTGCAGTGGCATGATCATGGCCCACTGAAACCTCTGCCTCTGGGCTCAAGTGATTCTCTCACCTCAGCTTCCTGAGTAGCTGGAACTACAGGCATGCACCACCACACGAAGTTAATTTTTTGCTTTTTTGATAGAGACAGGGTTTTGCCATGTTGCCCAAGCTGGTCTCGAATTCCTGAGATTAAGCAACCCTCCCACCTCAGCCTCCCAAAGTGCTGGGATTACAGGTATGACCTGCCATGCTTTTCTTTAAGAAACAAAATAAGCCGGGTGCA